CGGCGTTAACAGCGAATCGCGCCGGTTCAGCTTTTTTTCATCCCTCATTACGAACTGCGAAGACGTGCGATTTTATCCGCAAATGATCGCCACGCTCTGATTTCCTTTCTCACTGCCGGGACCAGTGATTGCTGAGATCTACCCACACCGCACACTGGAAAAACCCCCGCCTCTGAGACCCATTAGTGCATGTTATGTTTAAATGCATTATGAGCTAACCAACGCATGCATTTATTCGTACAGATATCCACATGACCTCGTGCCATATGATATTCCATTTTTAACGCATGCGTCGATGCGTTAACCCCTGCGATTCCTAATCGAATATCACCATGACGGCAAGCTCCACTTATTGTAGGTCATTGGACGAAAACAATGTGTCAACAATCTGGTTGCACACGTGCACGGGCAAAACGCCTGCCGCACCTCCAGGCATGCTGAGCACACAAGTCATACGCACTCATTCACACGCTGTTTGACCGTTATTATAGCATGTGCGGCGCTCGGGAACACGCACGTGCCCATCAGCCTTCCCGGCGAGCGCGGCACGTGCTCGGTTCTAACGACTCCGACCGGCCCGTGGGAAGGCCCGAGTGGGACCGTTTGTTGCGACTGAAGTCTGCAGCGTTTGACGCATGTCAACCGAGCGTGCCGCGTAGTCCGGCCAGCGCGCATTCCATTTGCGGGGGCAAAACCGCTAAACGAGGCGGCAGCCAGTATGCCGTAACGCCAAGACGGCGCGCGGCACGCGCAGAGCGAGTCAGTCAAGTAATGGTAGTGAGGTGTCATGCGCCTTCAGGCCCGCGGCGATACGCGCCGACTGGGTCAGGGTCAGACCGGCGCCTGCCGAATTGGGACGAGGCATGTGGCCGGCGCCATCGCCGGGGTGTGTCATGTCAAGATGGTGTCCACCGCCAGCGGCATTCAGATGTTCATTGGATGTTTGTTATGCTATTGATTCTTCTTGAATTCGCATCGTCATTCATCATTCGTTCGTTCATGCTTTCAGCGCCAAGCCCTAGTTATGCACCAGGTGCCTCATTTCGTCCCCTGACCGTTTGCCCCGAAGCGACAATAATCCCACCCTGTACGCACTCGATTGGCACTTCCTGAATGAAAATGAGCGTTGTTACCCAAACGATTACGAAATTTTGCTGCAAATAACCGTGAAAAATGGTGATAGCAAAAGTATCCACTTAAAACAAACACTGAAGGACACCGGCGCTGTTTTGGGATATTCGAGCGCGGCAGCCCGGTGCTCGTGTTCTGTCTGACTGTGAGCCCGCTCAGAGCTGTTGCTGAGCGCGTCTCATGTTCCCCGGGTGTCCTCGTCCTTCAGCGGGTTATCTGATGAACCGGACGTGATCCAGGCGCCGAACGGACCCACCTGAGCCGACCAGCGTCCCGCGTCTGCTGAATCGAACACCGTCGCCGGAGCCGACGGGCTTGTCATGTGCTGCCAGCTCAGCTGAAAGGCAAGGAGGCTCTCCAAGACTGCATCGGCCGGACCAGTACGGACCAGCTGCCACAACAGGCGGTGACGTAGTAACTACATGTCAGGGCCTGGTCCACCCGCCGTCGGTGATGGCGGGCTGGCTTGGGTGTGCCTTGTCTGACCGGTGCCAGTGCCGTCATGGACTGGACGTACGCATGCTGATAACACTTGGAAACGCCTCCCCCCCCCCCCTCTCCCCCCGGCGACGCCATATGCGTTCCACTTCAAGGGCAAATGTCGTTCCGAGGGCAGGACAGATTTGTGCTAGCCAGCCGTCTCCCTCGTAGCATGTAGTGAAAGCGTTTGAAGCACAGGGATCCCAAAAGAAAGAGAGAGAAAGAGAGAGATAGAGAGAGAGAGAGAGGAGAGGGAGAAGAGAGGAAAGATAGAGAGAGAGAGAGGAGAGAGAGGAGAGAGAGGAGAGAGAGAGAGGAGAGAGAGAGAGAGAGAGAGAGAGAGAGAGTCAAAAGAGCGTCACAGAAAGGTCTTTGCCGCGCTGAGGCCGAGGGCAGCGCATGAAGGCATAAGGTCTTGTCTATTCGAGCGCCGTGGGATGTTGCCCATGTCACGTTCCAGCCGCGCCCATCGACAACCAGCGGACCTGTTCAACCAGTGTAAGTACCACCTGCCGCACACCTGCCAGTATCTGCCGCACTGCACCGCCAGCTCCAGTGTCACAGCTGCGACCAGACACGACCATGTTTGCTCGCCGTGTTGGTCTGAGGCCCGGTCCAGGGTCGGCGTGGTAGAACCTCCGCCGCGTCACGGAGTGTTCACCCTCGTCAGTCCCCCCCCCCCCTTGCAGACTGCAGTACGCTGCTGCTGTCTGCAGTCGAGCCGTCCCGAAGCCGGCCGTTTGGGTAATGCTCGGCCATCCTCGGCCGGTCACGGAGAGCAGGTCGACCCTCTGCATCCCCCGTCCCTCCCTCCCCCCCCCCCCTCCCCCCCTCCGCCGGAGGAGGGTCCTGTCGACGCAGTGCGATACGCGTCGTTAGCCCGCGACCGATGCGGCGGGCGGGCGGGGAGCGAGAGCGAGGCGGGAACGAGACGCGGCGATGAGGCGTGGGCGCACGAGGGCGGTGCTGGAGCGATGGTGAGGCGACACGGCAGAGACGCGAGAGTAGCGCGCAGGCGATGAAGGAGCGATGCGGGAGCCTCGATGATGTGTCCCGGGAGACGAGGGGCGAGGTGAGAGCAAGGTGGGAGAAACGTGGAGTGTAGAGTGGGACATCGATGCGTGGAATGACAGGGGATAAAAGGCAAGGCCAAAATGGGAATGGCAGGGTGGACAAGGGAATAACAACGGCGAGAGGGTCCGTTTGCGAGCCATCGTTCGCGGCACGCTGAAACCTCTGCCGGGCGCTGTTGGGACGCGGAGGGCAGCTGTTTCCCGGCGGCAGGTGCACGCCCTCCCCTCCCCTCCCCTCCTGCCGGAGGAAGTGGGGTCAGGGTCGGGACGAGGCGCGGTGCGGAGGCGCATCCCTGCTGAATAAATCACGCCGAGACGCGCGTGTCCGCAGCCGCCGGCCCGCGCCAGGCACCGCAACCGCCGACGGACCGTGCCGGCGACGGTTGAGGCAAGCGGTGGGGTGGAGAAGGCGGCGCGAGTCGCTCCACGAGGCTGCCAGACGCCAGGCGAGGCTGCGGCAGGGGAGGGGCGCAGATCTGGATTTACCTGCCGGGAGTGATGGGATCATGTCGAGCTTGGACATCGGTTCAGAAGAATGCGTGGTAATGGGCTTCGTCACTCAGGCGTCAGATTGACACTAAACCTTCTTGTTTACTTGATCCTCATATTATGTTACCATCGGGGTTAGATTTTGACCCTGCCAAAGCGTTCTTAAGCAGTTGTCCACCCTTCCTTGAGCTCTCATTCGTCCACCCTTCCTTGAGCTCTCATTCCCCCGACTGAGGTTTCTGTTCTACCGCATGTGCAAGCTCTCATTGTAGGTCTGTGGCTGGGCGCCCATGGGACGCAAACGGGTATAATCCAGGTCGGACAATAAATACGCTGGTCGGTTCCGTCCAAGGCCAGCTCCGGGGGCTACAATACCGGTCCGCCGCTGGAGCGGGCGGGGTTTTAGCGCGCGGGAGCCCCTGATCTGGAGGTCATGGCCACGCCGGCTCGGGCTGCGGACCTTCCCCCGCCCGCTGCTGTCGGACGGGCCCTCCACTTCAGCACCGTTCGGTGCAGATCCACTGCCTCATCCAGTCGTTCCGCCGATCGCAGACGTGCCGCTCAGGGAAGAGGCTCCAGTGGGCCCCTGTGGACTCCGCGGTCTTTGTCTTGCCTGCCCTTCAGCAGAATCCGCGGACTTTCGTCACGCTGGCTGGCCAGTGTGTGCAGACGGCTAGTGCCTGGCCAGTGTGTCCGGCCCCAACTCGTGAGGGCCGAACACGCCGAGGCACTCTCGGCCACTCCGGGCACTCCGCGCTGCACGCGGGAGCCGTGAGACCAGACGCCACGCGACGGATAAATATTTGGGTCAGCGTCGGGCGCGTGGCCACAAAACGCCGACCGAATTTGGAAAGCCACGCGTGAATCACGATGACGGAAGACACGCCGCGGCGGCGGCGACAGCGGCGAGGCGCGATCGTCCCAGAAAAGGCGGCTTTTCCGGCGCGGCCGCGGCCACAAGCCGGCGCAGTTGGCACATCACGGGCGCTCACGTCGGCGACTGCACCGCGAGAGTTTGACGGCATCAGCTGGGTATCGCTGGCGTGGGCATTCACCGTTGTGCACTACAGCATTTAACCGTGGGTGTATCTAGCTGGACATCTTGTCGCCTCGTAATGCTGCAGGGCATGACCATACCGTTCAGCTTTCTGCTGCAGCCTGTACCGAACGGTGCATGCATTCATGCTGGACAGGAAGCATGGTACGCTCACGATGCACTGCGACTCTCTGAGCAGCGCGATGCAGTGAGAGCCACATGGAGCTTTATCGAATATTCCTGCCCAGTGTACAGTGCAGCCCACGACTGCAATGAACATGTTGTTTGAATGATTCGGTGGGACGCTAAGTGGCCTACGGAGTAAGCTTCTTACTGCGATTACCACACTCGGCAAACTTGTTTTGTTAACCGCGATCATATCCGTTGCGCCATTTAGGGGCAGTAATCCCGTATGGTGAAGAAACCCTCGACTTCTGCTTATCCTCGTGCATGAGTTGTAATTGCGCTGTTTATAGCGTTGCACTGCATCTCAGAGAAAGTCAGTTGTGGTTGGAACGAGCCAAACCCCTCAACAAATTATGACGTTCGCTGATGTGATGTAGCGTGCACTAGGATTTAAATAAAAAAACAACCCGTGACTCACACACACATTGTGCAACCTTTCCTTCTGGGTCACCTTTCTGGAATCATCCGTTGTTACCGTCATCCCAATAACAAATACGTTGGTTGCATCTTGAGAAAACACTTTTTTGGAATGGTTTGCAGTTCCATTCATTTCCTTGTTGTGATGCCGGTGGGTTCTTACAACTATTAGGTGTTG